GTAAAAAGAAATGTTTTTAGACATAGAAAAATCTATGTAATAGGATATAACCTGCTGAATTAATGGTGCTACAGAACGAACTTACCTTGCTGACAGTTCTTTCCAGTCCATCCAGGTAAGCACATACAGCTGTACCCATCATCTATGCCCACACAATGTCCATGTTGGCAAGGGTTCTTGATGCACGCATCTATGCCTGTGTGGGAATTGAGAGCAATCATGTTGGCCAGTCAACCAGGAAAATAAATGGTTGGCATGGACCTCTTGTACAATCATTGAGGAAACATGTCAGCCAAGTCATTGTAATTAATTTTTTTAAACAATACCTCGATTAAGCTCTACGTTGAATTAGAGCGGTTGTCTACGCTCTACGTAAAATTAAAACGGCCGATTACGCTCTACGAAAAGGTGCATGCAGGCCCCTTTTCGGCCAAACGCGCTTCCGTCTCTTATTGTTTATAAGTCAATCAACATGCATTGTATGTGCGTCTCAGAAAAACACCGACTGTTGGCAAATGTATTGTGCAAACGAATATAGATCTTTTGAAAATTTTAAAGGATGCACAGTGCCACATAAACTATTATGCAATAGTTAAAACACATGCGCAAGCACAAAGCTTATTATAACTAACCTTGCTGACAGTTCTGTCCAGTGTATCCAGGTGAGCAGGTACAGTTGTATCCACCATATTGGTTCACACATGTTCCGTACTCACATGGTTTCCAGATGCACTCATCAATATCTGTTTCAAGATCAAAAAGAAATCACGTTGGACAGTCAACCAAGAAAATAAAAGCTCATGATCCATTGCATTGTCCCCCCACCTCGCCCCCCTTCAGTGATTTCGCCTCCTCACCAAAAATCAGTTATTCCCTCGAAAACTTCCGTTTAAGCATGTCCAAATACACAAATTTGTTACATAATTTTAATCATAGTATTTCGCTGTATTTGGGGAATTCTTGGCTTGGCGTCGTTTCCCAAGATGAGGGGAATTCAGCTTCATGTAAAATCCCTGAAAACTATTGTACCAATGACCAGCTCAAATCCTGTGTTGTTGAGATGCCTATGCTGTTAAGCATAGTTAAAAAAAGCCATAGAAAGAAAGACTATTTAAACCAAGGAGGTTACTTTCTTGCTTCAGCCGAACCTGTAATAATATATTTAGAATTGTTAATCAAATTTACCTGCCATACCTGTGGTACGGTGTAAAAGAGTAGACTTTAACTAAGGGGCAGAGGTGGAGGGGATCTACGGAGGCGGGGCGAAATCGCTGTGACCCCGGCGGTTGTTTCTAGCTATGTGGTCCGTCACTGCAGTTTTCGTCTCTTTTTCTCTATCTTTGTGTATGAATGGATGAATGAATGAATGAATGAATGAATGAATGAATGAATGAATGAATGAATGAATGAATGAATGAATGAATGAATGAATGAATGAATGAATGAATGAATGAATGAAACTTTATTTCCGTGTCGTGCGCTTTCCCGCGCCCAGCCCGTGTGGGGCTTATTCGACACCGATTCAATAAATTATACACTAACAAAAGAAAATCGAAGGTACAGATAACAGAATCCAAACAAAATATGAACACAAATAAAAGTAAGTTATATACAATAACGGTGAACAAAGTGAACTCATAAGAGATCGTACGTACATGTAAATAAACGAATCTGTACATAATGATCCAAAATCTCACAAAATAAATACAAGAACATAAGGTAAATCAAACATAATAAGAGAAAACAAACGTGCAGAAGTAACAAAAAGTGACGTTACTGTTGATTTGTTATGTGTATAGCCGGTATAACCGCGGATTGTTACACCAGCTGAGATCTCAGAAACGACACGCACAAAAAGGAGATGAAAAATCGGCAGTGACGGACCACATGGCTCAACAACTGTAAAATGGGAGGGGGTCAAAGTGATAGACAGAGAGGACAACCGACGGATTCGGTGGATTAAGGAAGTCAACGCCAGTGATGGGACGAGGGTAGATACAAACTTAGCCACGTTTGGTATTTTTTACTCGCCGCTAATACGCCATAATCTCCAAGCAGATCATACGGTGGCAAGGCATTGGCCTGAGGAGTGTCTATTAGCATGGACAATCCTCTGGCCAAAGCCTACTGCCTTGCCACCGTATGATCTGCTTGGAGATTAAAAAGTGCCACATCGTGTGCGTGTAGGGGCGAGAAGCAGTAGTCTGATAGACGTTGAAACGTAAGAAAGGTAAGACAATATCCCTGGTTGTGCAGAAGAAAATCAAAAGTGCCATGTGTTCTACCAACCTGATGAAATTATTTTCAGGAATATATAATATAAACAAATAAACATATATAAACATATATGAATATATATGTCACAGGGGAGATTGGAATCCAAGGGAATCCGGAATCCTCCTAGGAGATATTGGAGTTCCTATCTTCCCTAGTGGAAATTGGAATCCCTATCTCCCCTAGGAGAATATGGAATCCTCCTAGGGAAAATAGAAATTGCTATCTCCCCTAGGGGAGACTGGAATCCTTCTAGGGGAATCTGGATCCTCCTAGGAGAGATTGGAATCCTGATATTCAGATCCCAATTCAGGAGTAGAAATACTAGAACTCATTGACTGAATCATTTCACACCTAAACTTTCAATCAATTTCAGCAGTGGCAAGCCTATTACATGCACTATAATTGTAGGTGAATTATTAGATTGGAATCAAGGTTTGTTCCGGAATAATTTGCAGTTCTAATTCCATAATTGCAATCGTTCCTAACTTAGACCAAAATCTATTTCCAATTGGCAAAATAATGTAAATATGAATTGGCAAATGTGAAAATAAATTAAACAACAATATTATTACAAACCATGATTTTATTCAGAATGTACACATACAGAGTTGGCATCTAAAATTCTATTCTACCCAAGCCTCGAAATCTCAAACAATACTCCGTAAATAATTTCATCAGGTTGGAAGATACTTAGAGTACAGAGTTTTCTTCTCTTACTCTATACTCTCAAACAATACTATTAGGAATATTTTTCTAACATTTGTTGCAAACTACTAGCTATTGACTGAGTTACCTTATAAGCTAAAGTCAACATTTTAAACAAGTAGGGGGAAACAATCCCTTATGCCAAGTCTCTAAATACTCACTGGAAAAAAAAACAGTTTTTGAGCTATTATCTCACCATGGCCTGATGCAAATATCTGAGTTGGCTGAAATTGATTGAAAATTTGGGTGTGATAAAATAATTCAATCCATTTTCCAAAGCATTTTGATGCAATCAGAATGTCTCCTTTTAAAATTGGAGATTGTCCTGTAAGAATTCCCACTTGCCCTAGGACAAATTAGAATTCCTATCTCCCCTAGGAGAATCTGGAATCCTCCTAGGAGAGATTGGTATTCAGATATTCAGATCCCAGTTCAGTGAGGAACAACTTGAATTCCAGTCCCCCCCCCCCCCTTGGAGATAGGAATTCCAATCTCCCCTACGAGAATTCCAGATTCCCCTGGATTCCAATCTCCCGTGACATATATAATATATAAACAAAGCCAATTTGATTATCAAAAAAGAAAAGGTGAGAAAGAAAGAAAGAAATGTATGAACGGTTATGAAAAAAAATACTATGCTAAGAGATTGCTTACTGCAAAACAAAACTTACCATGCTGACAGTTCTGTCCAGTCCATCCAGGTGAACAGGTACATGTGTATCCACCATCTTGGTTCACACAGCGTCCATGTTCGCATGGGTTTCCTGGACACTCATCTATGTCTGTCGGATAAAGGAATATATATCACACATATTCAAATTGTTTTCTTTTTTGACAGGCAGAGGTGGTAAAGAAAATATGATATAAATATGATATAAGTGAGTGGTAACAACACAACAAAATCTTACCTTGCTGACAGTTCAGTCCAGTCCATCCAGGTGAGCAGGTACATGTGCACACACAGGTCCCGTGTTGGCATGGGTTTCTGGTACACTCATCTTTGCCTGTGGGATGAAGATTTGGGGGCTTCACCTAGACACAAAGGTTAATACACTGTTAGATACGTCAGGATTCTAACACCAAATTAACCCCCGAATAAACAGTAACTTGCATTGTTTAATATAGCGAATTTCAGTCCATGACTGTAAAGTGCTGTATTTAAGTGTTTTCAATTTTCATGCATCTACACTGCGCATTTACCGACTGGCACTGGCTAGGCCACAGCAAGTATTTTTTTATGGATAACATCAGCACGCGCATTAATTTTCAGCTGATTAAAAAAAAAAAAAAAAAAAATTTTGTTGCCTTCTGACAGTGGTCAACATGCCGAAAATGGGCAAAGATGTCTGTTTCCATGCCGGAAGGTGGTTGGCAGATTACTATAAAGAGAAGAGACAAGATCTAGAAAAGACTCTGATGTAATGTTTTGTTTCTTACTTTGATGGTAATATGTGTTGCTGGCTGTGTATATGTAATGTTCCCACTGAATCAAAACCATTTGTACCATGATTGAGTCAAAATGTAGGAACCTTGTTGTTTTCGGCCCGCCTTGTTTTTTTTTTTGCTCGCTCGCATTAGAATTGAAGTCTGCGGAGGATGTCATCCGTAAATTTACTTGCTGTGGCCTTATGAAGAAGCTAACTACTCGCACAGATTTAGAATGCACAAGGAAATTGTTACTAAAGAAAAACCTTCTCATCTATCTGTCTGCCTGCCGAGCATTAATATGCCAATTTCCCTTCCATCTATTATGCCTGATTAATTTGGTTTATTGTCTGTTTTGCACTCACAAGATGAAATAAAATAACACAATTGAAGTTAAGTAGACATACATGGGAGGGCCGGAAACCTGGAGGTTTATATATTGCCCTTCCCAACACTATCAGATAAAAAGTTACCATTGATACTGAATGAAACAAAATTTAAACGAAGAAGAAAAAAATAACAGGAAATAAACAGAAACAATTAAGAGCTAATGAAACAATACAAATCATCCATCTGAACAAATAAAGAAGATCAAAGTAATTAATCTAGTTATTGAACATTGTGTTGTATAATTGTTATATTATTTTATTACTTCGTAAACATGGCTTATATCTGTTTAGTAGGAGGTGCATTATCGATCTCAAAGCTAACTTTGTTTTGTATCAACTTTTGATAAGTGTAAACCTTTTGTTATCTCTTGTTATTTACGTTTTTAATGTTGATGATTTATATGTTTGGGGTTTCCCCCAGGACACATTGAAAAACCACAGTAGGCGATATGTATTCTCCTGGTCAAACAAACAAACAAACAAACAAACAAACAAACAAAAAATGTCTTTACTTAATTTACGTATAAATTTATAATCTTTGGATAAATACCTGTGAGGAGGATTTAACCGCTGCAAGGAATATGTCCTTCACGTCTTCCCTGTCATCTGGCCCTGTGTCGAATGTTGCATCAGCCGATTGGTCTGTGAAATCGACAGGTTGGAAGGAGGAATCGGGCGGTGGTGCGAAGGTGTCGGCTCCACTGAGGCTGTCACTCACAACCATTCCCGACATCAGCGCGACAAGAAGCCAACTGGCCATGGCACTCTGTAACGATAACACACGGTTTACTCTTTTATGGAGAGTCACCTGCGTTGGTAGATACATGTTTGATTTGATTTTGATTTTATTGAAATTGCAACAATACAATACACGCGGAACAGAGGCAGCTGTTGCTGGTGTTGTGTCCTGCACAAAGAAACGGATACAGGACAGATAATACTCATTTTCACTTGAGTCTAGTGGGGAAAAAGTCGTGTAAAGTGCCTTTCCCACGGGCACAAGATCGGTGGCATGTCAGGGCTCGAACCCGGGACCTCTTGATTTCGAGGCGCGTACGCTGCCGTTGAGCCACACGACCCCACGTAGAATGTTTAATGTTGAAATTTTTGTTCCAACACAAGAGAATTGTGCTCACCTAGAGCTTTCGACCAGTCTCTCTGGTCTTCCATCGGGTCAGTCATTTAGGGAGACTGAGTAACTGATCGAGAGTTCTTACCGCTAACCGGTCACTTGACCGGGGTGGTCGCGCTTTGCAGCTGAACTCACGGCCAGAGTCCCTCCAACCTCCCCGGCATGTGTCAACGCATAGGTGCTAGCAAGGGGCAGACAAGTCCACTCCCTAATGTTGTAATCCCACTTCTTTCTCTGTTTGCCCCCTTTCCCTTCTCCCTGCTACTGTTCCTTGTAAGATCACTTTGGAGAGAATTTTGCTTCTGGTTACGTGGTCGTACCATTTTAGCTTCCCTACTTTTAACGATCTCTAGGCAAGAAGAACTCTCTTATGTTGGAACAAAAGTTAAACCTAAAATACGTTTTACTCCTCGCGAAATGTATACTAGCAAAGGCAAAATGTTTTTTTTTTATATTCCAACATCTATGTCGTGGTGACGGCACACTCAAGATTTTTTCAACTTATATTAATGCCGCCACCAACACAGTGGACAATACAATATTCATTTTCACCTGAGCGAAGTGAGGAAAGTCGTGTAAAGTGCCTTTCCCACGCAAAGGCACAAGATCGATGGCATGTCAGGACTCGAACCCGGTACCTCTTGATTCCGAGTCGAGCACTCTGCCGCTACGCCACACGACCCCATGAAAATGTTTATAATCATAAACAATTCTATCCAGTATATTCACACAGATGGCTGCCGCATCTAACATCTTAAAATACAAAGAAGAGTAGTTGAAAACTGAAGTACATCGTTGAATACTTACTGGTGGAGTTCACGACTCTACTTCAAGACGCTATTCTTTAGAACGTTGTCTTAAAACGTTGTGGCGAAGTAAGAAACAGCAATCTCGTCGAATGTGCACAGTTTCAGAGGCGGGCTTCTTATGAGGTGCGCTATAATCTCATAATACATTGACAACCAATGCGATTTTTCACTATGTACCATGCTCAGCCGCGTGATTAATATAAGGCTTTCATGAATGGTGGGAAAGGGACCACCGGGGTGGCCACGGACGAAATTATATAAATATGCAAGATTCGTTACGTATGAAGTACGTATGAACTCTTACCAGCATACCAAATATCATCACAACCAATAAAGGCGTATGAAATTATGCTGACTACAAATGTGTGGAAACACAAACACACAGACACACACACACGGAGACACACACACACACACACACACACACACACACACACACACACACACACAGACATACACACACACACACACTGACAGACATACACACACATACACAGACGCGCCAAAAACAATACCGCCATTTTTCATGGAGATAACAACACAGCGGAAAAACAGTGGAAACGAACTCAAAACAGCATAATCATGGAAAGTTTGTCGAAGTTCGCGGAAATTTGTACACGGCTTTTGTACACGGCCTACAGCTAGTGCTGTCGAAGTGTACTTTTATCCGGAACCCTGTCGGAAAACTTTTCGTAAAACTCTTCCGTCCCAGAACTGCGTCAATCCTAGACTGCACTGATTCGTCACTACTGTATACCCAAGCAGTTATGTAGGAAAACTTTTCCGTCCTAAAAGTGCAAAGAATGCACCGTTTCACTGTTGATATGTGGTAAAGTTTTACGAAAAGTAATATATCCTATGGCACAGTTGTTTACCGAAACAAACAAAAACACTCCATCTCTTTCATACACCACAACTTGCCGTCTGTAAACCCCCAGTGACAAAATTCGACCTGATCTTAGAAGAAAAAGGGGCAAACATTCAGTGTATTGTACTTGCAAACAGCCAAACACCGTGACCCCTTCTAAAGTCTTCGACCCTGAAGTGGATAAAATAAACTGGAAATCGGTAACGCGGAAACCCCCATGTAGTGCGAAATCTACACCGAAATGAGGCATAAGGAAGCCTTTTGAAGATTGACTTTGACTCTACATATCTCGTCTTTAAATAATTTTCGAATCCTCAACTGTACTGTGTCAGTTTGGGCAACTTGTTTCGATAACGGAGAGCCATTTATGTGCTTGATCTGGCCTATTTTGGCTGTGCTATCGACTTTTTTATGTGACCATGTCTTATGCCTCAAATCGGCGCGTCACAACGCGTCACAACTCACGCCCCTTCGCCATTTTCTGCTGGCATCGACTTTAATTCTATGCTTGGAAAGCCCAAGGCAACGGTACGGAAGTATCCCAACTAATTATATAAGTACCTGATCGTGTTGGGACCCCGGTAGCGAAAGCTCGTTGTGTGTGACCTTGGGAATTTCCTAGGGTAACAGGTTGTGGCACCGGAGCCGAGAGATTTTTGCCGTGGAAATATAATTACGATCGCGCAAAACTCTCCCGAAGAGAGCCCAACGAATCCATGATAGGACTGGATACCAGTCTGTGGAGTTAACAAGTTACGTCGGTGAAGTGCATAGATCAAAAGCGGCCTCTAGCAGTTTAATGGGAGACTGCATCATAATGTTGGCTGGAAGCTGCTACCACGTACTGCAGTAATTTCTGTTTGCCGCTACGGGGTTGATCAGATGATATAATGACTTGACTTACTGATGCCGAGTGCTGGCATCCCTGACCACGGGTCAAAATGGCGGCCCTACAGTCTCTGTCTCCCATCGCCGGGCTCATGTAGTCACCGCGTCAACCCAACCAGGGCCTCGCTTGGACGTATGTTCTTTTTTTCTTCAGGTGGGCTAACTAATAAAAATAGTAATGACTACACTATAATAGTTGACCGTTAGATAAAGGTAAACAAAACGATAGTAAACGACCGTTTTTGATGGTAGTCCAAATCAAACAAAAAATAGTAGCCCTAAAGAGGGGCGCACAAAGCGATAGATTAACCACTTTACCTTGGAAGAGCAAGGAGAAAGCTCCGAACTGTAACGGCCTTCAAAAACTCATTGTAACTAGAAAGGCCAATATTTGCTTTGGAGCAAATACAGCGATGGGCTCACCACATTTTACGACATGGCAGGGAAAGAATGAGAAACACAAGGGAAAACAATGATTTACATTGATATAACTATAATATGAAGTAAAATACAACTAAAACAACAGTTGGATAGCTATTCCCTACTTTATTGGTTAGGATTTTTAATTGCATAATGCAAACTGTTGATTTTCAAAATAATAAAAAAACGTCCATGCCCCGCATTCCAATGCTGGAGCAGGAAAGCTTGAAATACCTACCAAAACACTTGAATACAGACATACTGTCTGCATGGAAATGCTCTGTGCAGGTGTTAATCAAGTTAAATCCCAACAGCCAATCAGCAAGAAATGCTCTGTGCAGGTGGAAATGCTCTGTGCAGGTGTTGATCAAGTTAAATCCCAACAGCCAATCAGCAAAAAGAATAGAGGAAAGCTGCATGCCTATTGGTTGATGCCCTGCATTCCATTGTGATGACTCATGCCCAAACGTGGTAAACAAGGCACACTAACACAGTAATACATTTGGTATAACACAGCCAAAAAAACTCAAATAAAACCATTCTAAAAGCCTGTATCACAATAATTTAAAAAACGCCTAGGGGTATTTGCCCACTGTACCTCCATACCAAATTTCAGGACCTTGGGCCCTAAAATGAAGAAGCTGAATCCATTTAAAAAATGGAAGGAGAAGGAGAAGAAACATCAGAAAAAGCTTCGTGGTGTGGTGAACCCATAATTATATTGTATTTGTACTGCTGTATGGCTATTATGTGCTATGTACTGTGTTGTTATCATTGTATTGTTTCTGCATTTTTATTGTACCCAGATCTACCTGAAAAGCAGGTCAAATGACCTGAGTGTATCTTCTGGTTAAATAAATAAACTGAAACTGAGCTTTTTTTATTCTTGAATTAGTTGAAACAAAACTAACAATAAGAAATAACCGATACAAGAATACTAAGACAGGACAGGTTAAACACTGACATTTCCATAACTTGTACGGTACAAGTCACACGTACTTTCACATTCCAAACTTTACTAGAAGTAACGAAATCATAATGGCTATAGAAAACAGGCCATTACTCTTTTTAAAAAAGTATTTTCATACTATGTCTGGTAAGGGTATATACTGAATTCTTATCAATTCCTTGGCCATAGGCCCATATCCACTGATACAAAGATTAAACTGTTCCCGGATCGACTCAGCATTGCAGCACCTCATTCCCACCCGCCCTCTCGGTCCATCCAATATAGTATTTGCTAACTACATTTCACTAGATCACTGTGTCATCTCTGCAAGGTAAGTATTCCGTACATTGCGCTCTTGAAAGGCCCAGTTTCAGGATAAATCAATTCGATCCACGGCGTCTTTACAAGGACTTATTTATATTTTTTCCTAGACAGTTTCTGTACAAATTATGCCGTCATTGGATAAAAAACAACTTAAACAGTTATTCGGCATAACAATCGGCGCTAAAACAGCAGTAATTAGGTGCTATTCTAGAGTTAAAACAGCCTTCCTTGTTAAATTCAGACGTTACCTGATGCTGATTAGCATAATGTGTGCGAGCGATGACGTCACGGCGTCACACCTATTTCACCTGGCCAACCTGTCTTCACCTTCTTCTAATTCCGC